ATAGGGATCATTAGGTATAAGTATTTACATATGGATCATTAGGTATAAATATTTTACATAGGGATCATTAGGTATAAAAATTTTACATAGGGATCATTAGGTATAAATATCTACATAGGGATCATTAGCTATAAAAAATATACATAGGGATCATTAGGTGTAAAATTTTTACGTAGGTATCATTAGCTACAAAAATTATACATAGGGATCATTAGGTATAAATTTTTAGTTAGGGATCATGAGCTATAAAAATTATACATAGGAATCATTAGGTGTCAATTTTTTACACAGGGATCATTAGGTGTAAGTTTTTTACATAGGGATCATTAAGTATAAGTTTTTATATAGGGATCATTAGGTATAAATTTTTTCCATAGGGATCATCAGGTATGAAAATTTTACATAGGGATTTTAGGTATAAATATTTTCACATAGGTATCATTAGGTATAAACATTTACATAGGTATCATTAGCTATAAAAATTCTACGTAGGGATCATTAGGTGTAATTTTTTTACACAGGGATCTTTAGGTATAAATATTTTACATAGGTATCATTAGGTATAAATATTTACATAGGTATCATTAGCTATAAAAATTATACATAGGGATCATTAGGTGAATATTTTTTTTACACAGGCATCATTCGGTATAACAAGTTTACATAGGGATCATTAGGTATAAATTTTTAGATAGGGATCAAGAGCTATAAAAATTATACATAGGAATCATTAGGTTTAAATTTTTTAAATAGGGATCATCAGGTATGAAAATTTTACATAGGGATCATTAGGTAGAAATATTTACGTAGGGATCATTGGCTATAAAAATTTTACATAGGGATCATTAGGTGTAATTTTTTTACACAGGGATCATTAGGTGTAAATTTTTTACATAGGGATCATTAGGTATAAGTATTTATATAGGGATCATTAGGTATAAAAATTTTACATAGGGATCATTAGGTATAAATATTTACATCGGGATCATTAGCTCTAAAAATTATACATGAGGATCATTAGGTGTAAATTTTTTACATAGGGATCATTAGGCATAAGATTTTACATAAGGATCATTAGGTATAAATATTTTACAATGGGATCATTAGGTAAAAACTTTTCACATAGGGATCATTAGGTATAAAAATTTTACATAGGGATCATTAGGTTTAACTTTTTCATAGGGATCATTAGGTATAAATTTTTTACATAGGGATCATTAGGTATACATTTTTACATAGGGATCAGCAGGTATAAGTATTTACATATGGATCATTAGGTATAAATATTTTACATAGGGATCATTAGGTATAAAAGTTTTACATAGGGTTCATTAGGTATAAATATCTACATAGGGATCATTAGCTATAAAAAATATACATAGGGATCATTAGGTGTAAAATTTTTACGTAGGTATCATTAGCTACAAAAATTATACATAGGGATCATTAGGTATAAATATTTTACATTGGGATCATTAGCTATAAAAATTATACATAGTGATCATTAAGTATAAAATTTATACATTGGGATCATTAGCTATAAAAATTATAAATTATACATAGGGATCATTAAGTATAAAATTTATACATTGGGATCATTAGCTATAAAAATTATACATAGGGATCATTAGGTATAAATATTTTACATTGGGATCATTAGCTATAAAAATTATACATAGGGATCATTAGGTATAAATATTTTACATTGGGATCCTTAGCTACAAAAATTATACATAGGGATCATTAGGTATAAATATTTACATAGGGATCAATAGGTATAAAAATTATACTTAGGTATCATTAGTCATAAGTATTTACATAGGGATCAACAGGTATAATTATTTTAAATAGGGATCATTAGCTATAAAAATTATACATAGGGATCATTAAGTATAAAATTTATACATTGGGATAATAAGCTATAAAAATTATACTTATGGATCATTAGGTAAAAATATTTTACATTGGGATTATTAGCTATAAAAATTATACATAGGGATCATTAGGTATAAATATTTTACATTGGGATCATTAGCTACAAACATTATACATTGGGATCATTAGGTATAAATATTTACATAGGGATCAATAGGTATAAAAATTATACTTAGGGATCATTAGGTAAAAGTATTTTTTATAGGGATCATTAGGTATAAAAAAATATACATAGGGATCATTAGGTGTAAAATTTTTACGTAGGGATCATTAGCTATCCCATTAGCTCAACCCACCGCCGATCCCAGTGTCGTATATCTATACTACTTGTATGTATGCATGTACGTTTGTATGTATGGATGTATGTATGTATGTATGTATGTATGTATGTATGTATGTATGTATGTATGTATGTATGTATGTATGTATGTTTGTATGTATGTATGTATGTATGTATGTATGTATGTATGTATGTATGTATGTATGTATGGATGTATTTATGTATCGAATTATGTATATATATAAATATCCATGTATGTAGGTATGTTTTGTATGTATGTATGTATGTATGTATGTATGTATGTATGTATGTATGTATGTATGTATGTATGTATGTATGTATGTATGTATGTATGTATGTATGTATGTATGTATGTATGTATGTATGTATGTTTGTATGTATGTATGTATGTATGTATGTATGTATGTATGTATGTATGTATGTATGTATGGATGTTTGTATTTATGTATGTATGTATGTATGTTTGCATGTATGTATGTTTGTATGTATGTACATATGTATGTTTGTAGGTATGTGTGTATGCATGTTTGTATGTATAAATATATGTAATTATGCGTATGTATGTATGTGTTTTTGTAAATTTGTTTTATAAGATCGTATGTGTGTATGTATGTATGTAGTTATGCTTGTATATTTGTATTAGTGTGTATAAAAGTATGTAAGTATCCATGTGTGTATGTATGCAAATAAGTATGTATGTATGTAAGTATGTATGTGTGAATGCTTGTAAGTATGTATGTGTATATGTATGAATGTATTTGTGTATGTATCTATGATTTAATGTATGTATGTATGTATATATGTATGTAAAATACATGTGTGTATGTAAGTTTGTATGTGCATATGTATGTATGTTTGTATAAATATATCTATGTTTGTATGCTTGTATGTATGTATGTAGGTATGAAGGTAAGTATGTGTGTAAAGATCATTGTTTAGTTGTATTTCTTGCTTGTATGTATGTATGTATGTATGCATGTATGTATGTATGTATGTATGTATGTATGTATGTATGTATGTATGTATGTATGTATGTATGTATGTATGTATGTATGTATGTATGTATGTATATATGTATGTATGTATATATATATTTATGTATATATGTATGTATGTATGTATGTATGTATGTATGTATGTATGTATGTATGTTTGTATGTATGTATGTATAAATGTATGTATGTATGTATGTTTGTATGTATAAATCTATGTAGTTATATGTGTATTCTTGTATGTGTTTTTGTAAGTCTGTTTGTAATGTTTGTAGGTATGTTTAAGTATGTCTTTTTGTATTTATGTATGTATGTATGCCTGTATGTATGTATGTATTATGTAATATCGTTCTTTAACAAGTTTTTAACAGTAGTTCCAAAACTTGATTTCGTCGTCAAGAAGTTCCATGATAGGTCGGAAGCTCACCAAGCATGTTTGAGCTTTTCTCTAAATCTTGAAAATATCTTCAAACTTTTAAAGCTTTTTGTAGTTTCTCAAAACTCTTAAAAGTTATTCAATAGTTATGTTATATTCTTCTTCATCCGAAACACATGAAAATGTGTCTGACAAACAAGCGAACCAGAGCCCAGAGAATCTTATCATTCAGAGCACTTGAGGATGTTGTTTGAAACTTTCCCTTTAGGTTTTTTTTGCATAATAAATGTGATGACTTTAAATGTTAGCAAACAAAAAACCAAGCAAAAGTTTTTTGATTTTTTTTTAAAATTTTTTTATCTTATTGATTGACCTTTTTTCAAATAAAAAAATATAATGTTTTCATATAAATGAATCATTTTTCTTGCTTGATCTTTTTTTTGCTTCCGTTGAAAATCATCACTCGTGCTATGTAATGGCGATCCAGGTGAAAAGTGTCAAATTACATCCTGAAGTGATCGGATTCTTATCATCTTTTGGGCGAGTTGCCAGATACATTTTCATATGTATCGGATAAAAAAGTGTGGCTTATTTTTTGAATAACTTATAAGATTTTCAAAAATCTACCAAATTACTTGATAAAATATTTGGAAAAAGCTCAAACTTTCTAATTGAGCAGCAGAGCCATCATAGAAATTCATGACGACTGTAAATTTTGGGACTGTTAAATATTTTGTAAAGATCGAAGTTTATCAAAATTTCTCAAAATGAATCGATGTTATCAATTACAATTTTATCAAGATCAAATTTAATTAACTGTCTTTGTTAACGCAAAAAAAATCTGTTCCCTATGTTTTTATATTTTCTGTCAGTTGGTTAGAAAAGCTTCAACCTCACAGCATTGGTGTCACAACATATGAAAAACTTCAACTTCGCAGCTGATAAACTATTTATGCCAAACTTGTTCAGATACGAAAGTACTTAAGCACTTGCCGAGCTAGAAACAAAAACTAAACTTGGTAAGATGACTTTTTTTTCAATTCAATACCATCACTTAATACTTTCTGCATCTGGCCAGAAACTTGGACTACTTTGCGTGCGTTGACTTTATAATAAATTTTTACATTTCTCATCTGGCCTGAAACTTGCATTACTTTGCTTTCGTTGATTTGATTTTATGACTAATTATTACATTGTTCATCTGGCCAGAAACTTGGACTACTTTGCGTGCGTTGACTTTATAATAAATTTTTACATTTCTCATCTGGCCTGAAACTTGCATTACTTTGCTTTCGTTGATTTGATTTTATGACTAATTATTACATTGTTCATCTGGCCCGAAACTTGGACTACTTTGCTTGCGTTGATTTGATATTATGACTAATTATTACATTAGTCATCTGGTCCGAAACTTGGACTACTTTGTGTGCGTTAATTTTATGTTCACTCATCATTGAAAAAATCTATACAGTTAAAAGATCAATTCAAGTTTTTCTTGAAAATATTTTGCCATTTTATCCTGAAAAATCATCTTTCTGATTTTCGTACTTACGTTCAAATTTACAAGAAATTCCAAAAAATCCTTATATTCCTGCTTCTGATTGCTCTTATTACATAAATTCTTCAAAATACGTAAGTCTAACAAGTGAAATATTCTACAATCCAAATAAAATCACGGTGCGTTGATTTAGTAGTTTTTTTTCCAATTCTAAATCATGTCTGGGAACGTTTGAGATATGCAATGCCTTTTTGTTTCGTTTTTCAGAGACAAATTTTGATAACTGATTTTACCGGAGATCATGTTTTCTAATGTTAACTTTGCTTTGCAAGCTGCAAATATGGCCATTTTGGGACAATTAATGCGTGATATATTTCGCTCACCTACCGCGTAAGCAGAAATTTAATACGTCTTAGAAATTGTTCTAAATTTGTTGACGGAAGCTGGTTTGCCATAATTGATTTGTTACTAGGAGCAATATCTATCATTTTGTGCTTTATTTGGCGTAAGGGGTGATGATTTTAACAGAAAATCTCGAATTTAGATACAAATTTTTTTAACATTTTTTTCCAATGTTCACTGGTCCTTAGATCTTAAAAGGCAGTAGATTCAGGGCTTGCCTTAAAACGAGCAGTTTGTTTTATTTTTAAGCTAAGCTTTTCATATCATGCTTAGGGATTGAAGATTGAGGCGAATTGTTAAAACTTTCGAAGTTGGTAGAATTATATTTTGGTGAGATTGTTTGGTGAGATTGTTTGGTGATCGCTTGGTTTCAAGTTCAACTCATTTCCTGCTGCTGATTGCTCTTAATAAATATATTCTTCAAAATGCGTAAATCTACCACGTGAAATATTCTACAATCCAAAAAAAAAACCACGGTGCTTTGATTTGGTAGTTTTTTTTTAAATTCCAATTCACGTATGGGAACGTTTGAGATAAGCAATGCCTTTTTGTTTCGTTTTTCAGAGACAAGTTTTGATCACTGATTTTACCGGCGATCATGTTTTCTCATGCTAACTTTGGTTTGCAAGATGCAAATATGTTTCTCATCGGATAATTAAGGCTGTTTAAGCTTGACAGTTTTCATACAGCAATGCGTACAACCATTATTAATCTTTCCAAATGGAATCGCGCTACATTAAAGACCTCGATAATTCTGTTACAAAACAAATTTTGACTTTGCCGTGGGAAAACCTACAAAATGTTTTTTTGCTGTTTTTTATTTCAGTTTGTTAAGGTTAGTGTCTGCAGACAAACATAGGTTTTCATACTAAATTGCGAAATAGGTTTAAGAATAATGTTTGCTCAGTTTCAAATTCAATTCAGTTTTTTAATATTCAATTGAATACCCAGTATTAGTTTGAAATCTTTTCGATAGTTTGATCAATTTTTGACAGATTTCGACAAGAAAAATTTCCTTTTTTTGAACGCTTATGGCTCGAGCTGAAAGTACTTAATTGAAATGAGGTTTTCATGATCGCAAAACTGATTTGCCAGACACATTAGTTATATGGTAAGTTCAGCTCCTACCTGAATTTGGACTTCTTTCATTTGAATCAAAATAGACTCAGAGAATTGAAGTGCAGTCAAAACAATCAAGTCTTCTTGTTTGTTCGAATCAGCTTTTTTTCATCTTTTTTAAAGCTAACTGTAGAACATTTTTTTTTGTAAAATCTCTCCAATTAGTACAATGTTTTTTCCTGGTCGTTCGAGTTCTAAAATTGGAACAACAATTAAATCAATCCCAATGAATGAATCAATCGAAATATTTATAGTTTTTGTTTTTTCCATCCAGAATAAATTGTTCAGCTCAAAAATTAGTTTGAGTTTTTTTACACCACCTGAAAATTAATTTTGTCTTAAAAATGTGTTGTTCCAAAAAATCTGAGATATAACTCGTGTGAATTCATGCGCATTCACACGTGTTATATCAAAATGTGTGAAAACCAAGTGTTTTTTTGCAATTTGTTCAACCTGAGAAAATGTGTGTCAATTTCTGACAATTCCGCAAAAAACATCAAACCTTTTTTCTTTTGAATAATTTGTATGATACAGGAATTGTATAATAGTGTTGTGACTTTTGTAATGAAAGTAATGGAATAATTGTGCTCGGGTGCGTTTTTTTTCTTCAGACAAACTTCGAATCTTCAACTAGCCGTTTCTGACTGGTTTTTATTATCATTCAAAAGTTATTGATGTCATGAGCTTAAGTTTGAAAAATATTTTACCTGTGGTTGTTTTGTGTTATGTTTGGGGGTTTAAAGATAGCCATTTTGGCCACTTTGGGACAATTAACGCGTAAGCGGAAGCGGAAATTTAATACGTCTTGAAAATTAATCTAGGTTTGTTGACGGAAGCTGGTTTGCCATAATTTATTTGTTACTAGGAACAATATCTGTTACTTTGTACTTTATTTGGCGTGTGGGGTCATGATTTTAACAGAAAATCTCAATTTTTTTTTTCATTTATTTTTTCCATGTTTACTGGTCCATAGATCTTAAAAGGCAGTAGATTCAGGGCTTGCCTTAAAACGAGCAGTTTGTTTTATTTTTAAGCGAAACTTTTAATATCATGCTTACGGGATTGAAGATTGAGGCGAATTGTTAAAACTTTCGAAGTTAGTAGAATAATTTTTTGTCGAGATTGTTGTCTGCAGAAAAACTAAATTACAAAAGAACTTTAAAACAATGATCGCTTGGTTTCAAGTTCAACTCATTTTTTAATCTCCAAGTGAATACCCGGCAAAAAATTGATATCTTTTTGATAATTTGATCTACTTTAGATTTTTTTCGTGTAAATATTTTGCTCATTTTGTCCTACAAAATCACCTTTCTGATTTTCGTACTTACGTTCAAATTTATAAGAATTTCAAAAAAATCCTTAAATTCCTGCTGCTGATTGCTCTTATTACATATATTCTTCAAACAACGTCAGTATACCACGTGAAATATTCTACAATCCAAAAAAACACGGTGCTTTGATTTAGTAGTTTTATTTTCAATTCCAATTCACGTCTGGGAACGTTTGAGATAAACAATGCCTTTTTGTTTCGGTTTCCAGAGACAAATTTTGATAACTGATTTTTACCGGCAATCATGTTTTCTCATGTTAACTTTGGTTTGCAAGCTGCAAATATGTTTCTCTTGGGATAATTAAGGCTGTTTAAGCCTGAAAATTTTCATACAGCAAGGCATACAACCATTATTAATCTTTCCAAATGGAATCGCGCTACGTCGAAGGCTTCCATAACTCTGTTACAAAACAAAATTTGACTTTGCCGTGGGAAAACCTACAAAATGTTTTTTGCTGCTTTTTATTTCAATTTGTTAAGGTTAATGTCTGCAGACAAACATAAATTTTCATAATGAATTGCGAAATAAGTTTTAGAATAATGTTTGCTCAGTTTCAAATTCAATTCAGTTTTTTAACATTCAATTGAATACCCAGCATTAGTTTGATATCTTTTCGATAGTTTGATCAATTTTCGACAAATTTCGAAAAGAAAAATTTCCTTTTTCTGAACGCTTATGGCTCGAGCTGAAAGTAATTAATTGAAATGAGTCTTTTATGATCGCAATACTGATTTGCCAGACACATTAGATATAAGGTAAGTTCAGCTGGTAGCTGATTTTGAACTTCTCTCATTTGGATCAAAATAGACTCAGAGAAATGAAGTGCAGTCAAAACAGTCAGGTCTTCTTGTTTATTTGACTCAATTTTTTTTCATCTTTTTTAAAGCTTCTTAGAGAACAATTTTTTTGTAAAATCTCTCCAATCAGTACAATTTTTTTTCCTGGTCGTTCGAGTCCAAATTTTGGAACAATACTTAAATCAATTCCAGTAAAAGAATCAATCGAAATACTTATAGTTTGTTTTTTTTATCCAGAATAAATTGTTAAGCTCAAAAATTAGTTTTAGTTTTCTTACACCACCTGAAAATTAATTTTGTCTTAAAAATGTGTTGTTCCAAAAAAACTGAGATATAACACGTGTGAAGTCATGCGCAATGACACGTGTTATATCAAAATGTGTGAAAACCAAGTGTTTTTTTTGCAATTTGTTCAATCTGAGAAAATGTGTGTCATTTTCTGATAATACCGCAAAAAACATCAAACCATTTTTCTTTTGAATAATTTGTATGATACAGTAATCTTATAATAGTGCTGTGACTTTTGTAATGAACGTAGTGGAATAATTGTGTCGGTTGGGTTTTTTTCTTCAGATAAACTTCGAATCTTCAACTAGCCGTTTCTGACTGGATTTTATTATCATTCAAAAGGTATTGATGTTCTGAGCTTATGTTTGAAAAAATGTTTTACCTGTGATTGTTTTTCATTATGTTTGAGGGTTTAAAGTTTGCCGTTTCGGCCACTTTGGGACATTTAACGAGTGATTTACTTCGCTCACTCACCGCGTAATTGGAAAATTAATACGTCCTAAAAATTGTTCTAAATTTGTTGACGGAAGCTGGTTTGCCATGATTGATTTGGTACTAGGAACAATATATGTTACTTTGTACTTTATTTGGCGTGGGGTGATGATTTTAACAACAAATCTCGAATATACATACAAAACTTTTTTTACATTTGTTTTTTTGAGGTATACTGGTCCATAGACCTTAAAAGGCAGTAGATTCAGGGCAGTTTGTTTCAGTTTTAAGCGAAACTTTTCATATCATGCTTACGGGATTGAAGATTAAAGCGAATTGCTAAAACTTTCGAAGTTAGAAGAATTATTTGTTTGGTGAGATTGTTGTCTGCAGAATAACTAAGATTTTCAAACCAACTTACAAAAAAAATAACTTTAACAAAATGATTGCTTCGTTTCAAGTTCATTTCTTTTTTTAATCTCCAATTGATTACGCGGCAAAATTTTGATATTTTTTCGATAATTTGATCAATTTTAGATAGTTTTAGGGAAGAAAATTTTATTTTTTTCTAAACTCGTATGGCTAGGCTGAAACTACTTAGCTGAACTGAATTTTTTATGATCATGATACTGATTTGCCAGACACATATATTGCATGTTCGGCTGGTACCTGACTTTGCATTTCTTTTGTTTGGAACAAAAATGACTCAGAGAATTAAAGTGCAGTCAAAGCAGTCAGGACTTCTTGTTTGTTCTACCCAATTTTTGCATCTTTTCTAAACCTATCTATGGCATTTTTTTGTTAAATCTCTCCATAAAATACACACGTTCAGTTTTGGTCGATCTGACCCAAAACTTGGAACATCAAATAAATCCATTCAATTAAAACAATCATTCAAAACAATGATAGCTTGTATGTTTTTCTCCATCAAGAAAAAAAATATTCTTCTCAAAATTTAGTAATAGTTTTTTACACAACCCCCTGAAAGATAGTTTTGTCTTAATGTTGTTTTTTCCGAAGAAATTTGTTTTCTGTTACCACAGTTTTAATTCGCAATTTCCACACGCATTCTGTCGTGTTATATCTTAGTTTGTGAAGAACCAATTGTTTTTTTTGAGAAATTGTACAATCTCAGAACATGTGTGTCAATTTTTTCACATTTCTGCCTTTTCAATGTCTTTTCAATCTTTTCAATCTTTTTTCTGATATTGGAACCATATTATTGCCGCCTAAATTGGAAGTTCATGCAGAAATATTTTCTTTCTTTTGTGAACGTTTGGGTTTTTTAATGATTGCTTCCCGTTTTTTATCTTCAACTAAGATAGGATTATCTTTGAACTAGACTGTATGGTCTTTGATAAATCTTATAAAAAGTTTTGTAAAAACAGATTGTTTGCAGCTAGACCACTTTCAGAAAACTTATATGAAGTTAGATCTCAAACGCTCATCGATTAACCAGTCTTTTGAAAAACCTATTCAGACCAAAGAAATGAGAAAAACTGGACAGTTCACAGCCGGAAAAATTTCGGAACAAAAAATAAATCAATTTGACCCCAATTATTATTAGTTCAACCAGTTTTTTATAGGATCTATCGAGACTAAAAAATATGAGTCAGTAATAGTAGGATCATTATTGAAGTAAAGAACAGACGGTGTTCTTGATCGGAATTTACTCTACAAAATTGTAATTAGGATCAATCTCATATAGTGCGACCAATAGGTCTCAAGAAAAAAAGTTCAGAACCAGAACTACTTTGAAGTAACAATTTAACTATTAGAATTGAAAATCTAGGTCTCATTGTATCCGTTCAAACAGTTTAAAGAAACGTTTGTTTCTCTGAATTATCAGATTTGAAAATGGTGTTGTTATGATACTGAAAAAAAAACAAAATTTTGTTTATTGTCGTTACGAATCAATTTTTTCAAAAAAATCTGATGTTCTTGTCATTTTTCCTTATAAATTTTACCTTTTCGGAAAACAGTTTAAAAATTTTCCCCTTCGAAATCGACATCTCTACCCAAGTTTTTGCAAACGTAAAGTATCTAAGCTATTACACTATATATTTGCTTATTTTGAGTTAACTTGTTATAAGTGCTGTTTTCACTTGAATCATAGTCCAAATATCTTTTTCAGAAATTTTGACTGAACGAAACTTTCTTATTTTTTTGTTAATTTTCCGTATTAAAATTTCAATTATTCTTCTTAACAGAATCAATTTGTTTGCAAAAGTTTTATTCTTTTCAAAAGCATAATTTGCAAGAACTCTCAAAAAATCTAACCCATAACCTAGCAACCTGAAAAATATTTCAGAAGGAAAATAACTTATCATCAAGGCTTTTTTGGATCTTTCTAGTGTTTGTTTTCTTCAGTTAAAGTTTTGCAATGAAATATGCGTTAATTTAATCTATCGACCGATGAAGATAAGTATTCTTCAAGCTTACGAGACCGAAAAATCCAATTTTCGTTAAGATTAAATAAGATCGCTGAGCTAGAACTGAACTTAATCCAAAGAGAAGTTTTGTTGTATCGATCTATCCTGTTCTGTTCGAAACTACCAAGTGAGTTAAGTTAAAAATCTAAGAAAAAACTAATTTAACAATCCATAGTTGAGAAGGAACAATTTATGAACTAGAAAAAAAATTATGTTTCTTCAATTTACTAAAATTAATGTTAAAGTATTCAAAAAATCAAAAGAGAGACCACAACGACCAAATTAAGAACTAAACATAAAAAACGTAGAAGGAAAACACAAAAGCAAAAGACGAAACATCCATCAATCAGATTAGACACCTAAAAAACTATACAACAAAATCAAAAAAGAAGAGAAAAAGAACATTTTATGAGATCGCATTTCCAAAGCATGCTTAAAAACCAACTACTCAGACAGGTTAATCAAACAGTGATTTCTGATACTTTTAGTTGCATAAACCAGGGAAACTGAAAACGAATAGGAAGAGCCGATGAACAAGATTTTTTGTGTTAAAAAAAACAATTTTGGCATAAGGGAAAAATTACTCTTTTTTGGTAATCAGGAGCAAATCCATGTATAACAAGGTTTCCCAAAAAAAAATTGTTGGACATAGAGATTTTTTTTGGATGAATTGATAAAGAAAACATTTGAATAATCGTTTTTTTTTACTCAACATGGTAAAATCTAATAAAATCTCAACAAATTGGTTTATTTTCGATAACTGCTTGAGTTTTGAAACTTAAGCAAATTTTCTATTGAAGAAAAATCTCCATCAGGGCTACAGAAAGCTGAAGTATCTTGAAGAGAAATTTTTTACCTCAAACATTTGAATTTAAGAAAAAACCTTCTAAACTTTCTGTTTTTATAAGTTCTCGTGGTGACGAAAAAACTATCAAAAAAATCTTCAAATGTTAATTCCATGATCAATGTTCTCGGCACTTTTTTGTACATGCAAATAATTATGCAGTTCAAAAAATTTTTATGATGCAGAGAAATTAGTTATTTAGACAAATATCAACAGAAAAACTTAAGGGGAAAGCAAACATTGTAAATGTAGTCCCAATTTTATATATGCTGCGACATTCGGAACGGAAGTAACGAAACAGTTTTGCTCGAGTTAGTGTTTTTTTCTGCAGACAAATCTCAACTTCTTATTTAGCTTTTTTTTATCATATTGCTGCTCCATAGATCTTAAAAGGCAGTTCGGACATTCAAGGCTTCGCTCTGATACGAACATATAATCGTGAAATTTTGAAAGTATTTTGCTTTTATTTTATTTAAAAAGACGATTAAAAGATTGAATCAGATTGATTTATGCTGACTTAAAGCAATTTCATTGTTGCTGGAATTTAGTATAAATTAAAAGAAAGTATAAAACAATAAAACGTGCCAAAATTAGATTTGAATTGAACTAGATTTGATTAAAATCGATTGCTTTCACTACTATTTTGTATCAAGTAAAACCAATTATATAACTATTTCAAATTTTTAGGTCTCTTCTAAATGATTAGTTAAAATTGATGCTAAAACATTTCTTGTTAGAAAGAAAGAATCAACCAAATTTTTCAAGGGAGCGGGATTTGTTATTCGTGCAAAGTTTTATAACAGTGAGAAGCGAACCCGCATTGTAGTTCCATGAATGAAAATAGATTATAATTGAGTTTCTTTTGTCAGAGTCCACAAAAGTGAAAACAAATCGATTATAATCAATTAAAAATAGATTATAAAATAACTATTTTTCGAGGCAACAAAGTCCTTTTTTCATACATTATATTAGATCTTTTTTCATTTTTGTGGACGCTGACAATGAAACTAAATTTGAAACGATTTTTTCCCACTTCACTGAGATGCGAATTTCATTGCACCTAAAGTCTTTTCTACGTTTCAAACTAAAGTTGCTTAAGTTGGTAACTTGCTGTTCAATTTTTTTTTTCTGTCTATTTGTTTTTTTTTTACTTTTTTAGTCAAAAACTGAAATTTGATCCTTTCAACAATTTTGTTAAATTTTTTGAAACTTTGTGTGAGAGGTTCGAGGGGTTCGAGTGGGGGGAGTTGGAGTGGGGGTTTAAGAGGGCGGGGGTTGGTGACAAGCGTTGAGCTGGTGGCTTGTATGGGAGCAGGGGGGGGGGGTGTTCAAATGAGGGCGGTGGTGGTGATGGTGCTTCCGGTGGGGGGGGGGGGGGGGGGGTTTGGCTGGGTTCAGTTGGGTGGGGGGGGGGCGCATTGTTTCGGGGTTTTTCAGATGGCAAACGTTAGGGGGATTGAAGGGGAGCTAATAGGCAAAGGTTACGGGGGTGAGCTTAGCGGAATCTTTTGGCAATTTTAGTTTAGGTTTAGAAATAGATTAGGCCGTACACTCGCTTTGCAAAGTTTCCGCATAACCCATTTGATAAAGGCAGAAATTCTTGCAAAACTTTGCACGACGCGCGAAACAAAAATAAAGTAGAAAAAAATCAATTTTAAAGTGATTTCCTACATATTATAAAATGCATTATAATGGACTCCAAATGAAACTTAATGGATTTTTTTTGGCGAGAAAAAATGGATTCAAATCCGTTTTAGTCCAATTTTGTTGTCTGAAAGTAACATGGGAGTTCATTATATTTACAACAGTTTAGACCACTAAAAACCATTATTATCGCTTTGTTTTCACTTTTATTAAATGCGTATCAAATCGTAATCAAATTTGAAAAAAAAAAAAACATTTTCTGGTTTCAAGTTCAAACTTTCTGTTTAAAGGTTTCAACACATAAAACTTCAAGTCTTGTTTTTTCTTGACTTTTAGATTCAACTCACTTAGGGTTATGTTTCAGCAAAAAACGTTACAACTCTCGAAAATTGCAAACAAATTCAATTAAATGGTGTTAACAAAGGAGTTCTGTGTAACATCTAGAGCGAGATGTTAATAAATCTAATCTGCCAAAAACTTTTTGATTCTTTTATCGACGAGGCATGTTGGGTTTAAATACAACTGTTGAAATAAAATTTCGGAAAAAAAATAATTTTCTTGAGGACAATAATTTGAAACATCAAAAATTATCTTAAAGTTCAAACTTTCACGTATGTTAGGAAAATTACTTTTGCCTGTTGAAATATACACTCAGGAAAGTTGTAAAAATAAGGTTTTGTCAAATTTCATTTGAATTAAGTAAAGAAGATAAAAACTGACAATTGCTGAAGTAATGAAACTTTTATCAGTTTTTTCGCTGCCTTGAATTGTGATTTGTTCATGGTCAAAACAGAGCTTCAAAATCAAATTGATATTCAAAATTTTTTTAATTTGTCAGAAATTGCACAAGGAGCAGCAAAATGTCAAGTGGACCTCAGAATGAAAGTCTCGCTGAAGACCTAGACGGAAACACATTCAAGAAAGTGCTGGTTGTGGGGAAGACAGGAGCAGGCAAGAGTAGTCTGTGTAACGTGATTGCAGGCGAAGCTCATGATTCTGATCTCTTCCACATCTCGGCGTCCGTGCAAACCTCGGGAAGTACAACTTTCAGAAGTGTGTCCTTGAATGGAAACGACAAGAACACTCATATAACTTTGATTGACACGGAGGGCTATAAGGACCCAGAAAGAGACCTCGCGTGCATTTCGGATCTCGTGACCGAACTTAGAACCAAATACGACTATGTCAATTTGTTTGTCATAGCTATTAGTGGACAAGAGCCTTGCTTGGATGGAAGCCTTATAGGATTGATCAAAATTTTTGAAGGCATGTTTGGTGCGGAGTTTTGGTCTAGAGCAGTTATTGTTTTTACTCGGCTACGCATGGATTCAGCGAGCATTAAGTCACGAGAACAACTTGGCAAACAAAACGATGCAGAGCTGGCTGAGAAATACATAACTTCCTTACAGGAGAAGTTTAATTATAAGGATAAACTCGACTACCTCATTCTAGACTCATGTAGAGATACTAGTGATCACGAGGAGGAAAAGGCTTTCCAGAAGGAGTTGGGGGCACTGCATAAAAAGGTGGAAAATGCACCTCCACTTTACACAGATGTTGAAAAGCTTCTCTCGGAAATGGAGCAGCAGATAAACAAAGAGCAGCAGATGAACAAAGTGGACAAAGAACAAAGGTAATGCGCTGCTTTCTTTTAGATTAACAGAAGCTTACATTTCAATTTTTTTCCGAAACTAGACAGGATGAACTTTTTTTTGGAACTGAGTTATTCATTCAGTTATCAACTATGGCAATGTGACGTTGGTTTTCAGAACAACAAATGTTTCTGTTATGTCCAGAAAAAAGTCATCTGAAATAAGTAAATTAGATGTCAGTTGAAACTTAAAATGAGGAAGCACATGCACACATTTTTGATATTAATTATTTTAATGTGACGCCACGATGTTGTACATTGATCTAACAGAATTTTCAAATTTAGCTGCGCACGGTTACGCTTGGCATGTCAATTTTGTTCATTAGCTTGGCATATCTCTAGGCCTAATTGTTGTGAAAATCTGAATGCATAGTTTCAGATACGTGGATAATTTAAAGCTATAAATTTCATATATTAAGGAACCAGGTTTGAGAAATCAACCTTTAACTTCAATAATGGTTGCCATCATTTCTTTTGATACTCAATTGTGTAGGCAGTCACCCGTGCTCAGATCGATCAACTAGACTCTTACAACTTTTGTAGCAAAGAACGAAACAAAACGACCATGCGTAGTATTGAGTTTTTTGCGAGAAGGACAAAAAAAACAATTTCTTGCAAGAATTGCAAGACAAGAAATCAATGTGAGAAACTATCGCAAATATTCTGAAAACCAACAGAAAGGAAATCAGTTTTTTTTCAACGCAACAGGAAGCACTTTTAAATGCCAAAGGTGATATCTTGAAAGAAACTAAAACTACACTTGCTGACGCAAAAGTTGCGATAACGTTGAATACCCTATCCGAAGCTAAACATCTCAAGAACTACATTAGGCGATAAAATATTCGAATAATCGGGTCACTAAAAAATTGAGCACGGAAATGAAACTTTTTTAAAGCAGAGCAAAAATAAAATCAAATGATACGTGAGTTTCTAAATCTCTCAGTACGGAAATGGATCACGCACCGCTTTCGCCCATTTTTGAGAGTATAGGAAAAGTAGGAAAAGTCTATACAATGATTATAAGAAACCTTCAGTCAAAAACTTTGTTACGAAGAGAACTCGCTAACTCGAAGGTCTTCCTGATTAAAACTTTTTTATATTCTTTGTAAACGAAGACTTAAAGGTAAGGAATGCCTGGACAAAAGAGTCGTCAAAGTTCTATGCTCGTAAAGAATATGGAAAAATCTACAAAAGAAAAGGGTTATATGAAATAGACTTGAATCTAATTTCACTAAATGTACGACCCTATTGGATCTGTATTGGAAAAAAAAAACATGTTTACATCTGCCTATCCGTTCAGAAGCCATATTTTTGAATAACATTTATGTCAATGACTGTAATTGTTGTTTGGCCATGAATAAGCGAAAAGTAGGTTTCCAAAAAAAAACATTTCAATCATTTCAAACTTTGTGATTTTGCTCAGTAGAAACCTATCTACCTAAGAAAAAAGCGAAGTTGTTCTCAGTTGATCATACAAAAAAAAATTATTTGAAAAAGACTTGATGCGGATATGCTAGCATACTCTATCCTAGCTAAAAAACGTAGCAACTTTTGAAAAATTGTAATTTCCCTCAGAAAAACCAGTAGGAGCTTTCAATGATATCGAAAGGTTCCGTTTTTTTGTGAACTCATTGGCCTATTTAAAAAAATGGAAATTAGAAAAGATGTTCTTTTTTTTCGAAATTTATTGAAAATTTATGAATGAAGTAGGAGAAAAAGTTGATCAGAGTTACTAGCAAAACCAATTAAAATTCGAATGCAGGTGACTCCACTATTCTGTTCACTCGTTTTTATTCAGAGTTGTTCATAAAATGTAGTTTAGATCAGGTTACACCCATCCGGGTTTTACAGAGTTTTTTAGAATTGTCTTTCTGCAATTCAAAGGATGGATGATGGACGTTGGTATTTGGCGAACATCATATTTCTTCTGGGTTCTCTTGTTAGAGAAGTTCCAGGTTCAATCGTTGTGTCTTCTTATGACAACGACTGGGTTTTCTCAACAAACTCAAATCTGATTTCAGAATGGTTGGCTATGACAGGTTTTTCTGTTTCAAGTAGAGAACTTCTTTTGTGTTTGACCTTGTCTGGGAATGGCGTGGAGATTGAGCGTGGAGGGGATGCCTGGTTACTCGGATCTGTACGTATACTTGAACATCGAGGTGGTCATTGGTCTAGTTCAATGAAGTCCTTTTCTGTGAAGTCAAGTCGTACTCTAAATCCTTTGAGTTGTGATTGTGGACGGCATATTGATTGTGGTTGGCCATTCTTTTTCGAGTGTAGTGGGGTCATTTTGTCTTTGGATGTTCGTCTTTGGTGTTGTATGCTGATCTATATACTGCAAGGTATAATTTACATTTTATAAAATTTTTATTAGTTCAGTGTTTTAATTATGATTTTGGTTATTTGTTTTCACAAAAGCTTTTTGTTTTAGTTTGGTTATTTTGAAGAGTTACTCACCCTTGAGTACCTCTTATTAAAAATAAAAGTGTGGTCACAAAGCGTGGATGTAGCGCGGTGGGTTAGGCCGGCTATAGAGCATGCTCAGGACGTTCTCTCTGGTTGGTTAGGCCAGGAGTGGGAGTATGATTTCGTGCGGTTTCTGTGAGAGGTCCTGTTATGTGATAACGTTTTATGTCGGGTTTGTGGTGGTTTTTCTTATGTTTCGTTGGTTGTGTCCTTTTTTCAAAAATCAAATTGTTTTTGGTATGGGTTTGTCTTTCGACTTTTTTGTGTTTTATTATTTCTTTCTTAGACTTTATAATAGTCTTCAAAAGAATAAATTATCCAGTTGTAAACTGGGTTAATCCGGTTTGGGTACCGTTGGTTTCCTTTTCTTAGTCATGCTGTTATTCTATGTGTTGTGGTGTTTAGTAAGCTGCGTTGGTTAGTTTTGTTTAGTAAATAATTCCTTTCCAACAGGGTTAAAGGAAAGTTTGAAACTTGTTATCGTGTGTTAGAGTTGTTGAGTGTGAAAACTTGAAACTGAAATTCATTATTTAAACAATTCTTCGTGGGCGAGCTGTGCGAGTTTGGATATAATTCTTGTGCGAGTGAATGAAAATATCAAAAGGTTAGTACTGCATTTTCGTCTTATCAATTTTACTACATAGAATTTCAATGTTACTGCTAGTTTTGGGGAAAAATTAAGTTACAAATTTTCATCATTACTAAATTTACTGCTTGTGGGGAAACAATTTTTAAATTAATTTACTACATTGGTATGAATTTTATTGAATTTATCTAGTGCAAAATATTAATAGAGTTTTGAAGAATTTGAAGAAGTTTTCTATTTTTTATTTTTCTTTTGTGTTTTTTGCAGATGATCGTGGGATGAAGACTAAAAATCTAAATGAGACATGGATAAAGAATGGTTAGTTTTTAATTTGAATTAGTGAAGAATATGTATAAATTATACTTACCTGTTAGTCGTCGGGGAAAAACCGTGGGGGAAGATGTCGTGTATTATGTCGGAATTTGTTAGTAATTTTGCTAGTATGCGAATGATGTTTTTAGTTTGAAGCAGTGGCCAAAGCAATTGAAGTGCTTTAATAGTAGTTAGTTCTTCAGTGCCAACTGCAAACTCATAAGGTGTGTTTTGGATGAGATTATATAATTTGTGATTGTATTTTGTGTTGTGGATGAATTCTAATATTGGGATTTCTATAGGTTGAATAAATTCATGTGGGATAAGGAAGGGTCTGGATTCTTCTGCGTTAAGGGTCTTCGTGATGGGACAAAAAATATACATTTGGGTTATGGGATCATAATTGCGAAGAATACCGTGAAGGTTAGTATCTTTGATGCAATATGTGAAGTTAAGAAAAAATGGTGAAGTGTATTTAGAGTTAATCAACTGAAAACGGTGGTGTGGTTGTCTTGATGGAGTGTGCAGGTCAAAATGATTTTGTATGAAGCGATAGTATGTATATGTGTGGGTTTGTTTAGTGCGTAACATAATGTCGTGTGAGCAGTGCAAATCGCGTTCATGTGGTGCAAGGAAATTAAAGGTTAGTGAAAATAATTGAAATCTTTCTTTAAGACTTTCGTAAGTTTGCATGTCGGTTAGTGCTTCAGAAATGACGTAGTCGAATTTGCGATCAAATATATGGAGTGTAAATACATATGGTGTTTTGATGAAGAATTTTTCTGTGATTTGTGGGTTAGCGAAGCGATCATCATCTGAAAATTGGTCTTGGTTAGCTCGGATGATGTTATGATCGTAATATTCTAGCGTATATTCGGTAGCTCGGGGTGTAGTGTATGTTTTTAGTGACTTTTTATATCCTATATAAGTAAATTGTCTATGTGTTAGTGGTGTGGTGAGTCGGTATAGCATATCTTGATTTCTTTCTATATCGATGTGAGTATTAGATAATGGTAGGCAAAGGGGATTAGTAAAATGATAATATGATGTCCAATGGAGTGTAGGCATTAAAACATGTTCGTCTACAAAGCTACGTGTGTCGTTAGTGTCATGAGGGGTGTTTAAAGTATACTGTGGAAATGAAGGTAGGGTGATTGTTAAAAAATCTTTCGTGTTAGTGTGATTTGGATGATTAATATATTCACGGGCTGTTCCTGGTTTTGTTGGAAATGGATGATTTGGGAATTTTCTTTTGAAAGTGCGTTAAACTCTATTAGTGCTATTTGATGATTCGGTGGGCGTGGATGATGGTGCTAATGATGCGGTATAAGCTGAAGAGAGTGTAGGGGTAGGTGGGTTTGATGATTCTATTGTGGATGAAATCTGATTTAAAGTGGGGGTGTCAAGGTGGAAGGGTTGTTGTTGTAGGGTGATAAAATTATCTAGTTCTTGGGAGATTTGGGGAGTATCTGGAGAATTGGATGATCGGTCTGAATGAAATGAAGAGTAGGTTGGGGTGACTTGGGAAGCGTAAGAGGGTGTAGAAATGGATGGGAGTGGGTTATTTGGTGGGATTGGTTGAAAAGGGGGTGTTGAAAAAATTGAGGAGTTGGTTTGA